CCGGCCATGTGGTCGTGAGGGAGGTTGATACCGGTTTCGTGATGTTACGAAGCGGCAACGGTGGTTGATAAGCTTCTGGAGGTGGTTGGATGGCATGGGCAGCCACAGGGGGCTGCTGGAACTCACTAGAAGGTTGCTAGAACTCACTAGGGGGTTGCTAGAACGTGTTGGCAATTGTGGGAGGCTGCTCCAAAACGCTGGTAGTAGTTGTACCTCGCTGTGGCAACAAGGTTTCGGTCGTTCTGGAGTGCGCCATCACGGTGGTTTAGCTCCTGGGACATTTGCTTCCAACCATGGTTGTTTGGAAGGCTTCAATGGATTGAAAATAGGAGGAAAGGATTCCTTGAGCTTGCGTTGAGTAGAACTCGCACTCTCAATGAAAGCACCAATTTGTGGGAGCGATTTTTGTCCCACGAGAATATTCGTCTAAGATTCCGTCTTCCTCTTCGATTCTCTTTCTCCTTGCAAAACAATACGGAGTAAAGAACCACACCTAGGGGTTGTTGGCCAAAGGCCCTCCAATGCCTAAGTTAGTTTGAGTGTTTGTAGGAACAATGGCTAACAAAAGGGTACAGAGATATATGTATGGTGTGAACCAGGTGGCCGGAGCCTTATGTGAGAAAGAGAAAGAGTTATAAAGGCTAGGGTTTGTGAGATGGAATTTATGTAGAGTTTCAGACAAAAGTTTAGGCGTTCATCAACCCTTAGTGTAGCCATGTATTTATAGGAGCCTCGAAGGCTAGGGTTTCAGAAGAATAATTTCATAGATGGAAATGAATTATTATTCCCTAATTTGGAGAGATTGACGTAATTAGGGTAAGAATCAAATAATTTCCAATTAAATCAAATAACTCCCAATTAGGCCAAATAATTCTCAAATTGATTGGCTTAATTATTTGACCTAGAATCTGTATATATTTGATTCCACAACGTACATGATGTCAGGTCTTGTTGTTGTTAAGTATAGTAAGCTCCCAATGAGACTTCTGTAAACTGATTCATCAGCTTTACTTGATCCATCTTCCTTTCTTAATTTCTCATTGGTGATAAGTGGAGTAGCCACAGTGTACATCTTGAACTTTTTCAAAAGATTCTCAGTGTACTTTTTCTGGCATATGAAGATTTCATCTTCTTCTTGGTTTATTTTAATGCCCAAAAAATAGTGCATCAACCCAAGGTCACTCATCTCAAATGTTTTCATCATATCTTTTTGAACTCTTGAATTATTTCTTCATTGTTTCCTGTGTAAATGAGGTCATCCACATATAGAGAGACGATCAAGATATCATAGTTACCTTGAGTTTTGATGTAGAGAGTACTCTCACTTTTGCTCCTCCTGAAGCCTACGTTGATGAAGTACTTGTCTATGCTGTTGTTCCATGCTCATGGTGCCTGCTTGAGTCCGTACAAGGCTTTTTTTTAGCTTGAGTGCTTTATCTTCTCCTTCTTGTTCTATAAATCCTTGTGATTACTCCACGTATATTTCTTCTTCGAGCTCTCCATTTAGAAATACAGACTTTATGTCTAGCTGATAAATTCTCCATTTCATTTGAGTTGCTAGTGCTACCAATGCTCTTATAGTGTCAAGTCTTGCTACTGGTGCAAAGGTATAATTGTAGTCCATGTTCGGCTGTTGCGAGTAGCCTTTAGCTACTAGCCTCGCCTTATGCTTTTGTATCAATCCATCAGGGTTAAATTTGGTCTTATAGACCCATTTAACCTTAGTGTTCTCTTTGTCTTGTGGGCGATCAACGAGTTCCCATGTTTTGTTTTTCTCAATTGTTTTGATTTCTTCTTTCATAGCTTTTCTCCAAATTTCTTCTTCTACTACAACTTCAAAACTTTCTGGTTCTATAGTTATGAAGTTGCAAGTCTCATATATATCTTGGAGTAATCTAGTTCTTTAATGTGGTTCTGGAGAGCCCTCATGTTGTATAGATGGAGGAGTTGTAGGTGGTGGATTTGTACTTGGAGTTTCTTTAGTTTCTTCTCAACACAGTTGTGTTATAGTAACACTTTTCCTTTCAACTTTTTCTTCCTCCCAGTTCCATGACGCCAATTTATCGGACTCAACATCTCAGCTTATCATGAACTTCTTAATTCTGGGATTGTAGACTCGATAGCCTTTAGATTGGGAACTGTATCCAAAGAATATACCAACTTCAAATTTTTCTTCTAGCTTGTGTCTTTTCTCCTTAGGAATGTGCACATAGAAAATGCATCCAAATACTTTGAGATGCTTGGCTTTATATTACTCCGAGCCTCAATAGGAGTCTTATTTTGTAAAGCTTTTGTTGGGCATCTATTTAGCAAGTATACTGTTGTATATATAGCTTTTGCCCATAATGTGTTTGACAAGCCTTTTTCAAATATCATGGATCTTGCCATCTCCATGACAGTTCTATTTTTTCTTTCTAAGACTCCATTTTGTTCAAGAGCATAGCCAACTGTTAGTTGATGCTCTAATCCTTCATCTTCACAAAATTTGTTCAATTTTTTAGAAGTATATTCTTTTCCTCTATCACTTCTTAGAGCTTTAATATAGCGGCCACTTTGTTTTTCGACACGGGTTTTGAATTTTTTGAAGATATTAAATACTTTTGATCTTTGTCGTAGAAAATAAACCCATGTCATTCTAGTATAGTCATCTATGAACAAGATAAAGTACTTGTTGTTATCAAGAGATGGAGTCTTTATAGGTCCACAATCGTCTGTGTGGACAAGCTCCAACAAGGCCTTAGCTCTCCAAGCCTTTCCAGATGGAAATGCTTGTTGATGTTGTTTTTCAAGTTGGCAACCTTCACAAACGTCATGGATCTCTTTTATGTTTGGAAGATCTCTCATCATATTATTTTGATAAAGAGGTTTTTAGTGCATAAAAATTAAAGTGGTCAAATCTTCTATGCCATAACCATGAATCTTCTACTTCTGCTTTCATGGCTGTGGCTTTTACAAATTGCCATTAGATAGGAAAATTTCTATTTTCCATCCTTACTTTTGTTATTATGTTATTTTTATTTCTTTTATCGAATATTGTGCAGGAGTCTCTAGAAAAGTGCAGAGAGTGTCCATTTTCAATCATTTGTCCGACACTTAATAGATTATGCTCTAGGATAGGTACTAGTAGAACATCTTTAATATATGTAGTTCCTTTATTAGTTTGGATAGAGATTATACCTTTTCCTTTTGTCTCCACCAGTGTTCCATTTCCCAGTTTTACTTGGGATTTTACGGATTTGTCTATGTTGGAGAAGATGCTTTCATCTCCAGCCATGTGGTTACACAGCCGCTGTCAATATACCATTTCTTGTTGGTTCCTTCTGGTGTGGCTTGATGAGCATAAAACACGTGCTCATTCTTCTCACTTTTTTTTTAGTAATTGGCTTGATAATTCTTGGTTCGACAATCTTTTTCTATGTGCCCAAATTTTTTACAATTTCGACATTTGGGTTTGCCACAGAACCAACGATATTTTTCTAGGTGGTTTGTATTTTTACACACCCCACATGGAGGATAATTTTTTCTTTCCCCAATTCTTGTTGGATTTATAATCTTCTCTTCCAAAACTTTCTCCAAATTTCCTTTCCACTTCTTTAGTTTTCTGAGACCTTAAATTTAGTTTTGACTGAAATGCACTTTCTACTGAATTTTCATTTCACCTACTCAGTCTTTTTTCATATGCTTCAAGACAGCCCATTAGTTATGTCACTGACAGACTAGTTAAATCTTTTGTCTATTCAATGGTAGTAACTAAAGGATCATACTTATCAGGAAGACTTATAAGTAATTTTTTCTACATTTCTTGAATCATTAATATTTTCTCTAGAGGCTCTCAATTGATTAATTTTTATTTTTATTTTAGCATAATAGTCTTGTGTAGTCTCAGAATCCTTTATTTTAATGTTTTCAAACTCTCTTCTCAAAGTTTGTAGTTTAACTGCACGTACCTTGACATTGCCTTGAAATTCCTCCTTTAAGGTATTCCATGCTTCCCTTACAGTTGCGGCTCCCATGATCCTTGGAAAAATCATATCATGCAAGGCTTGTTGCAGGGCATATAAGGCCTGTGCATCTTTTTGTTGATCTTTCTTCAATTGCCTCAACTGTTCCACAATTGGATTTTCTGGATTATTGAAGCCACTATCAAATATGTCCCATAAATCTTGAGACATAAAATAGGTCTTCATTTTAATACTCTAGAAGTCATAGTTTTTTTCGGTGAAAATAGGAAGAGGGTTAGAGTTTTGGCTAGTGGTAGACATGATGGAGGAATAGAGTGAACCAACTCCCAAGGTTGATCGGAACAAGCTCTGATACCTTTATGGGAGAAGAGATTTAAGAAATGGTTGGTTTTAGTATTTAGGACAATAGCTTGATGTGGAATGGAAAACTTTTTCAAAGAGTAACAAGGTAATTTTATTTTATTTGAATGAAGGAGGAAATTAGTTACGAAGCTTTAGAGACTGAGTTTGATGATAGCATGAATTGGACAGCTGTAGTTTTTCAGCTTTAATTGCTTGAATACATAAGTGGGCTGCTAGCTTATATATATAGGGATGCTAAGTAGGCAACTTGGCTTTGGACAACTCGGTTGCACAGTAATCGACTTTTCCGAAGTCATTTTCAGCCACTACTTGTACAATAAATCTAGAATTATCTAGTTACAACATATTATATAATTAGTAGGATGTTTCTAGTGACTTTAACTTGTCAACATCTCTCAATTTTTCTAAATTATTCTATATTATTGAAGATTTTTCTTTATTATTCAAGGTACATGTGTGCATTACTTTTTAACACTTACTCATCTTGGACTCTGGGACTCCAAGAAACTCAAGTATCTTCCAGAGATGCCACATAATATGGAAACTTTAGGATTACGTGGTACCGCAATAGAGGAATTGCCTTCATCAATTGGGTCTCATGAAAAAAATATGTCACCTAGGTATTAAAGATTGTAAAGAGCTTAAAAATCTTCCAAGTAGTTGTAATATTAAGTCATGGAAATGCATACTTATTTTACTCTAAAAAGTTGCTCAACTCTTGCCAACTTTTTGGAGCTTCCCAGGGACTTGAGTTATTTAAATTTGACTGGGACAACAATAGAGGTATTGCGCTCATCAATCAAGCTTCTGGATGGTCTCTGTAACATTAAACTGAAAAATTGCAAAAGGCTTGTGAGCTTCTGGATGGTCATTTGGAAGTTGAAACGTCTTCAATGTCTTGATCTTACTGGTTGCTCTGAATTCAAGAACTTCCCAGAAATCTTCGAGCCTATGGAACATATGGGGTCTCTTAGTTTAAAGGGAACAACAGTTAAAGAGCTACCTTTGTCGATTGGAAATCTTATTAGGCTTCAAGTATTAGAGCTCTCTGGCTGCGAAAACCTTGAGTATGTCCCAAGCAGCATCTACAGTTTAAACTGGCTTGAATGTCTCATGTTTGATGGATGCTTGAAACTTCAAAAATTTCCGCCCTTCTCAGGCGGTTTGCTTTCTTTGAAAGAACTAAGCCTCAGTTACTGCAGTATATTAGAAATTCCTGATTTCCTCCTTAGCTTAACCACATTGCAAGAATTAGATCTAAGTGGAACCATGATTGAGGGCATACGCAGAACCATCAAACAATCTTCTGAGCTATCTATCTTGAACTAAGAGATGTCGTGATTAGTGTGAAGCAAGAAGATGAACTACTTTCTCCCGTTGCTGCTGTTGCAATGCAAGCCTTGTGGCTGAGGACGCTTTTGGGGTTTGTTAGGCTTCCTAGAGATGTCCTATAGTACATAATAAATATGAATGCATGTGAACTATGCATAGTTTTTAATTGACATATCCTGCTTTGTTTTTATATATAAGATTGGATATCTACCCGGTGAGTGATATCCCTTTGCTAAGATGAAGTGGAATTGTAGTAACCTTGGTTACTGTGCTTCTGTATTTATAATAACCTTGTATAGTTATCTGCATTTATACCGGCTTTTGTAGCTGACAACCTTGTATGCCTCAATTATAAATGTAATATATTATCTCAAAATAGATGAAGTGGAGTGCATCATCTGCATCATCATATACGCTTTGCCTGCATCATGGGTTTCAAATTTCATGGAAAACATTAAAAAGTTTCATAGCTCGTAGACTAATTCAAGAGTGATAACTACACAAATTATGCCAAAAGGACCAGACGTTACTGTTGATAATTCAAACAAAAAAAGTAAATTAGCTTGGTATTCTTAAACATGTTAAGAATTAAAATCCAAAACATATAACTCACAGATAGGTACGTAATAACAAACAAAAATAACGAACAAACAAAGATTTCAATAAATAACATGAGCATACTCGAAAGCTTCATATATAAACTGAAGCCTTGTAGAGTCTTCATTTCACTACCTTTGCATTTCATATTGAGTACAATATTTATGAAAATGAAAACTTAAACAATTTTGTAATATTTATTTTATTTTTGCTTTGCCAACAAGCTTGTGGGTGGCCATGGGCCCATGGCCAAGAGTGACTGTCTGTATTACCAATAAGGTAGGGGGCGGGCGAAGCATGAACATTCACTGCAAATCTGTAGCAGACAATGAACTTGGCTTGCAAATTCTGGCAGATGGTCAAGAAACTAGTTGAAATGTAAATTGACTAGCTAATTTCTTGTTAGTTAGTAATTTACTTAGTTTGGTTTTACTCTTAGCTTCGTTGAGCATTATGTTAGTTAAGTGACTTGAGCTCATATGCCAAGTGTAAGGTGTAAAGCAGTCAGCTAGTTTTCAACGGCTCTTAGGCCTTGTACTGCCATGTGTCACATTCACATTGGCCCTTGTAATAGAATGGTACTGATTGGCTGATGTAATGAGAGAATGAGAAAGAATACAAAAGGTGTGATCTCTGCAACGGTTTTGTAGATCGCACCAGAGAACATTTCAAAATTCTGTTTTCTGCTAGCTACCTCTCACTCTCTAGATCTTGAACTTCCTTGATAATCCAAAATCCATATCTTAACATGGTATCAAGAGCGAAGGTTGGATCTGAAAATGGGCGTCGAAGCTGAGCTCTGAAATCCAACGTGAAATTTCAGACTCAGTTCATTGATTCCGGTCTCAAATGGCTGGGTCAAGTGGTAATGATCTTCGGGCTCCAATATTCAATGGTGATAACTATGAATTTTGGAAGATCCGAATGAGAACTATCTTTAAGTCTCATGGAATCTGGGATCTAGTTGAAAAGGGTCTTGGGATTTCTAAAGTGAAAGGGAAGAAGGTTGATGAAGAAGGGTCATCGGAGTCAGAGAAGGTGTCTTTATGAATGAAGGATGCTGAGGCACTTGGTATTATCCAAGGAGTTGTCTCAGATGACATTTTTCCCAGAATCTCAAATGAAGAAACCTCAAAAGGTGCTTGGGATGTTTTGCATCAAGAGTTTCATGGTGATAAGCAAGTGAGATCTATTAAGCTACAGGGTTTGCGTCGAGATTTTAAGTACACAAGAATGAAGGATGATGAAACCTTGTCTGTGTATCTCACTCGTTTGCTTGAGTTGGTGAATAAAATGAAGGGGTATGGAGAAGATTTATCAGGAGGAAGATTGGTTCAGAAATTGCTTATAAGTCTGACCAAAGAGTTTGATCCAGTGTGTTATGTAATTGAGCAAACTAAAGACATTGAATTTATTGAGGTGCAAGAAGTCATTGTTGCACTAAAAGGTTTTGCTCAAAGGCTTGATAGGCATGCTGAGAGTACCACTGAAAGAGCTTTCAGTAGTATGAGTGTGAATCAGAAGGGAACCCAGTCAAGTTCTTCTTCTGGTGATGCTAAGCCAAAGAAGAACTGGAAATCGAAGGGTAAGAAATGGGATTCTAAACCTCAGAACTCTGTCAATCAATGAGGAAAACCAGATCAGGCTAAGGGAAAATGCAAGCATTGTGATAAACTACACTATGGAGAGTGTTGGTTTAAAGGGAAGCCAAAATGCTATGGTTGCAATCGATTTGGTCACTACATTAAGGAATGTGATCAAGCAAACAAGGCTGGAAAAGTAGCAAATCTTGCTAATCAGGTAATAGAACCTGCAACAGTGTTTTATGCATGCCATTCTGCTACTATTGGAAAGAATATGAATATGTGGTATGTTGACAGTGCATGTAGTAATCATATGACCTCTCATGAGTCTTTGCTTGTGAAGATTGATAAGAATGTGAAATGTAGAGTCAAAATGGGTACTGGTGATTTGGTACAGTCAACTGGCAAAGGCACTATGGTCATAGAAATGCAAGGTGTGACTAGATACATTAAGGAAGTTATGATTGTCCCTGGCTTGGATGAAAACCTGTTAAGTGTAGGTCAAATGGTAGAACATGGATATTGGCTTGTCTTTGGTGATAATGTGGTTGATATTTATGGGGATAGGCAGATGCAGGATTTGATTGCAAGTGTACCAATGAAGGGAAATAGATGTTTTCCTTTAAGCTTAGAATATGTCAAACCTTCTATGGCTAATAAAGTAATAGTTGAGGAGTCATCTTGGTTGTGGCATAGAAGGTATGGACATCTAAACTATACTAGTTTGATTCTCCTGCAAGACAAAGAAATGGTGCAAGGTTTGCCTAGATTACAAGTCACAAAGCATGTGTGCTCTGGTTGTGCTACAGGAAAAGGTCACAGAGAACCTTTTGACAAGGAGAAAGTTTGGAGAGCATCACAGCCCTTAGAACTGATACACTCTGACATTTGTGGTCCAATGCAGATTACTACTCCTGCAGGCAACATATTCTTTCTCACCTTTATAGATGATCACACTAGAATGTGTTGAGTATTCTTCTTGCAGCACAAGTCTCACATCTTCAATATTTTTAAAAGATTCAAGTCCATGGTTGAACTTCAAAGTGGCTATCAAATCAAGAAACTCAGAAGTGACAGAGGTGGAAAGTATATTTCCCTGGAATTTTCAAAGTTTTGTGAAAAGATGGGTTTAGAAAAGCAATTGACTGTAGCTTACTCTCCACAACAGAATGGTGTTGCAGAGAGAGAATCGTACAGTGGTAGAAATGGCAAGAACAATGATGCATGAGAAGAAGATTCCATTGAAGTTTTGGGCAGAAGCTGTGAATACAGCAGTTTATTTGTAGAATCGAAGTCCAACAAGTGCTTTGGACAACACAACACCATTTGAGAAGTTTAGTGGAAGGAAACCAGGTGTCAAACACTTGAGAATCTTTGGCTCTCTATGCTACATTCACATCCCTTCACAGAAAAGGCACAAACTAGAGGAAACTGGTGAGACTGGAGTATTTGTAGGTTATGGAATTTGTGAAAAAGGATATAGAGTACTCAATTTGAGAATTCAAAATATTGAACTATCTAGGAGTTTTATTTTTTTATGAGAAAGCCATGTGGGATTGGGAATCAAATGAGGCAGTACAAGCGGAGGTTACAATTCCTTGGAATGATGAAAAAAACTCAATGACATCTGAGTTTGATTCAGAAGCAAGTGACCCACCTCAGTCTGTGCAATCTCCTCTGAGAACACAAGCTGTCAGTGACCTGCAAGTAACTATGGATTCATTTCCACCTGATTCATCAGTTTCAACCTCTGAAACTTATGACCATACTCCAAGGAAATGGAAAAGTTTGGATGATCTGTATGCTGAATGTAAGATGAGCATCATTGAACCTGAAAATTTTACTGAAGCAGTTAAGGATGAAGCCCGGAAAAATGCTATGATAGAAGAAATATTGATGATAGAGAAGAATTCCACTTGGGAATTGGTTGATAGACCAAGCAAAAAACCAATTGTGGGAGTGAAGTGGGTCTACAAAACCAAGCTAAACCTTGATGGCTCCATTCAAAAGCACAAAGCAAGGCTTGTAGCCAAAGGTTACACACAGAAACCAAGGGTTGATTTCAATGAAACCTTTGCACCCATAGCAAGGATACACACCATTAGAACACTCATTGCACTAGCTACACAGAAAGGTTGGAAGCTGTGGCAATTGGATGTTAAATCAGCATTTTTGAACGGTGTGCTTGAAGAGGAAGTATATGTGGATCAACCGGATGGTTTTGTGGTTGAAAAGGCTGAAGATAAAGTGTATAGATTAAGAAAGGCTCTTTATGGTCTAAAACAAGCACCAAGGGCCTAGTATAGTGAGATTGATACATATCTCATTCACTGTGGTTTTCATAGAAGCTCAAGTGAAGCAACTCTATATGTGAGAAACAAAGAAGGAATTGGTGTCTTGATAGTATCAATCTATGTAGATGATATAGTCTACACAGGGAGTAGTACAAGAATGATGGAAGAGTTTAAAACAGAGATGATGTGCAAATATGAAATGTCATACTTGGAATGGGGGTAACTCAAACTGAAGGGAGTATTTTTATACATCAGAAAAAGTATGCTCTTACTCTCTTGGATAAATTTGGGCTCAAGGATTGCAAATCAGTGAGCACTCCATTGGTTGCCACTGATAAATTGCAAAGAGAGGATGGAAGTGAAGCTGCAGATGAAAGCTTGTACAAGAAAATTGTTGGAAGCCTGCTATATCTAACTACAACTAGACCAAATATTATGTTCTCAGCTAGTCTGCTTGCAAGGTTCATGCATAACCCTTCTAAGAAGCACTATGGAGCAGCCAAAAGAGTTCTAAGGTACATAC